CTCTCGCACAGCTGAGACTGGAGTGGACAGCAGCTGCCAGCCACGACACCAGGGCCAGGGGTGGGTGGGTAGGTGGTGGCACTTTTGAGGGAGAAAGGCCAAATCTGGGGGCTTTGCAGCCCTAGCAAATGCTTGCGTTGAGTGCTGTCCTCCTGCTGTCTTCCTTGCCCTCGCTGCGCAGACCTCACGCTCAACCCTTCCCACAATAGGTAGCACTGGGGTTTGGTATCTATAGCAGCAGTTGTGCTCCGATGATGAAGAAAAGCTGTCAGCCCCCCCCGACGAAGGAGGGCTGTTGAGTGCCCTGTGATGGCAGGTGCTCAGTTGCTACTATACGATACGATACGAGATGACAAATTTAAAACTTGTTCACTTGCAAGTCAGACAGGAGTATCATGCACCTCCTGAGGCCGAAAGCTTCCAGTTTAGTTCCTGGTTTGTCATGCCCCAGGGGTAGGATTAGGATCCTCGACCCTGAGCTAGCCTGAGTCTTACACTTACAGCCCCCGTGTCTCACAGGATAGTGTGAGGAGGGTGAGGGTGTCCTGTGCTGGGCTGATAAAGCCCTGATCTATCTAATCTATCCCTAATCTGTAGGATTTCTGTTGTTAATATATCAAACCTCTGTTAGCAGAGGGTAAGTTACAGGAGAGTTTCACCTGGTGTTAACCATCACTGGAAGTGCATATGTTTGGCTAGATTAGACACATAGCTATGCAGTTATCACAGGAAGGAGATGCCCAAGGGAGAACATGAGCTTTGCCCCCCATACCATCAGAATGGGTACCGCCACGTTTTGTACAGGTTTTCAAACATTTTGAGACATACAGACTTCCACTTTGATAGCTGTGTGCTTGTGTGCATGTGTGCGTGTGCGCGGATGTCTGTGCAAACCCCACAGGCACGGCTGTAATTCCTTTGAAATCTGAAGCTGCCAAAAGGTGCCTGGGTAGGTAGGCTCTTTGCCTGATGCTTCCTGTAATCTGACTGAAACTTTGCTGTTCTCCATCAGTGCTTGAGGGGAAGGTTGTGAGGTGTGACTTCAGGGTATATGTGGATCTGTTCATCCTGAGCAATGCGTTTTAAGAGTTGCAGCAAATAGTGTAAAGCAACCTGCAGGTATTACATTAGACCAGCTGAACCTAATTTTATTTTTAAGTTTTATTCAGAAGCATCACATAGCAAGTAACTTCAAAATCTAAGTTTAGTTACAAACTAGTTGTTTCTTATTTTTTTTTTCCAGTCCCCTTTTGCTTTCTTTTACGACCACATGAAACTTGAGAAGCCATCTAAAGCTAAATCATTTAGTGGAGTTGGGCAATTCCCAAGTGTCCAACAAGAAGGCCTGGTTTAGGCTGCGATGGCCACTGTCATTCCTGGTGATTTGTCAGAAGTAAGAGATACCCAGAAAGTCCCTTCAGGGAAACGTAAGCGTGGTGAAACCAAACCAAGAAAAAACTTTCCTTGCCAACTGTGTGACAAGGCCTTTAACAGTGTTGAGAAATTAAAGGTTCACTCATACTCTCACACAGGAGAGAGGCCCTACAAGTGCACACAACAAGACTGCACCAAGGCCTTTGTTTCTAAGTACAAATTACTAAGGTATTAAACTCTATTTATCTTTCAGATTATATTATCTATTTTATGTTGGCCGTGTTAAGCCGTGTAAAAGTATATATTTGTGTACGCCTTCAGCTGATTGCAGAGAGGATGTGTTAATTAAAGTAGCCATTGGATTGTTTCTAGAATTCTAAATTACCTAAGATTGCAAGCTAATGTCTTTGATTTTGTTTCTTAATTTGTTTTCTGCTTTTGTTTTCTGTTTGTTTGTTTTTGTTTTTGTTTTGTTTTGTTTTTTTAATGAGCATAGAATTTTCATTTGTATAAGGAATTGTCACAAGAAAAAAAGAGTATGGACTGAAAGCTCTTTGGCTATGGACTTTTACACGAATACTATCATACTTGCCCATATACCCCTGTTACAGTAGCTAAAAGCCACCCAAACTAAAGTGTCTATTTAAGAGAAATGGCTCGTGTTTTGCTATATTTAAATTTGTCAAACTGTCTTTGTAGTGTCCTGCTTTCAGTTAAAAGGTTCTGTTGCAAAGCAGCCCTTAGTGTAGTATTTAGCTGCCGTTAAAAAATGAGCACATGTGTATTTTGATCAAAATAATTACTTACAGAATATATCTGTGTTTAAAGGCATATGGCTACTCATTCTCCTGAGAAAACCCACAAGTGTAATTATTGTGAGAAAATGTTTCACCGAAAAGATCACCTAAAGAATCACCTACATACACACAATCCCAACAAAGAGGCCTTTAAGTGTGAAGAATGTGGAAAGAACTACAATACCAAGCTTGGGTTCAAACGTCACCTGGCTTTGCATGCTGCAACAAGTGGTGACCTCACCTGTAAGGTATGTTTGCAGACTTTTGAAAGCACAGGAGTGCTGCTGGAGCACCTAAAAACTCATGCAGGCAAATCATCGGGTGGAGTGAAGGAGAAAAAACACCAGTGTGAACACTGTGATCGTCGGTTCTACACCCGAAAGGATGTCCGCAGACACATGGTAGTGCACACTGGAAGAAAGGACTTCCTCTGTCAGTACTGTGCACAGAGATTTGGGCGGAAGGATCACCTCACGCGCCACATGAAGAAAAGTCACAACCAAGAACTTTTGAAGGTCAAAACAGAGCCAATGGACCTTCTAGATCCCTTTACCTGCAATGTTTCTGTGCCTATTAAGGACGAGCTGCTTCCAGTGATGTCTTTACCTTCCAGTGAACTGACATCAAAGCCATTTACAAACACTTTGCAATTAAATCTCTACAACACTCAGATTCAGTCCATGCAGAGTTCTGCATCTGCACACCAAATGGTTGCCACATCGTTACCATTGGGAATGCCTTGTCCAATAGATATGGAGTCTGTCCACCCTTCTCACCAGCTATCGTTGAAATATCCGCTCGGTACTACCTCATACGCAATTTCTATGCCTGAAAAAGAACAGCCATTGAAAGGGGAAATCGAAAGTTACTTAATGGAGTTGCAAAGTGGTATGCCTTCTTCATCCCAGGATTCTCAAGCATCTTCATCAAAACTAGGGCTGGATTCACAAGTAGGGCCACTAGATGATGGGTCTGGGGAGGTTTCCCTTTCCAAGGGCTCCGTTCCTATTAGCGAACCTCTAAACACCCCATCGTTGGACTTTTCTCAGCTGTTCAACTTCATACCTGTAAATGGCCCTCCCTATAATCCTTCCGTTTCAGTGGGAAACCTCGGAATGAGTTATACGCAAGAGGAGGCACATTCTTCTATGACTCAGCTTCCACCACAAACCCAGGATCCACAAGATCCTAGCAATAGTATAGGTCTTGGGTCTCTGCACTCGTTGTCAGCAGCTTTCACAAGCAGTCTAAGCACAACCACCACCCTACCACGATTTCATCAAGCTTTCCAATAGGATGTACAAAGCTGGCTTGTTACTGTCTATTTGTAGAAATGCCTTAGGTGACCATTTTTAACTTAGTGCCTACTATAAGACATTATAAATTCTCTGCTTTTGTACAGTACCAATCTCATGAAGCCAGTAAGAAATTTAAATTAACTTTTTAAAAATGTTTTGAAAGTGTTTATTCTCAGCTGTGTTTACTTTGTTTTTTTAAAGAAAAAAACCCAGTCTCATTGTATTGTTTTCATTTTCACTGCCAATTGACACATTTAAAATGTTCAGTAGAAAGGCATCCCAAGCAAACTCTCAACACTCATCCTTTCTGTAAAACTTTTTCAACCATACCAGCTATTCCGTTTTATTGATGTCAATGGTAGAACTGCTACTTTTACCTTTGAATATATTTTTGCAAATAATCCAGTTAAAATATGTATCACAAAGATTCTTGAAGATTTGGGAAAAAAAATTTCTCCAGTCCATTTCAGAACAAATCCTCTTCCCAAATTTGGTGACACATCTGACCTGTTCTAAAATGACAAATCTAAATTTTTAAAATAAATATAGACTTCAGATTTTTCTGAAAACTTGTGTGTGTATATGTAGAAGTTCATATATACACATGTACATATATATAGCATTTTGACTTGTATTGAAGTCATTATAAAAGTTGTTAAGAATTTTGCCATTTTCTGGCTTAAATTTTTGTGGCCTGTTATGGATAACAGAAGAAAAAAAATTAGTTTAATTCTCTAAAATTATGACTGAACAGAATTTCAACAGAGAATCTCTGCTTGCCTAAATGACAAATGTTTCAAGTTGAATTTGGAACTGTGTTGTTGTGCTTTCGTGACTCTGGTGTAGGCAGGCAAAATTAATGGCTGATCTTGAAATATAAAAGTGTTGTAATGTAGTAATGCAGAATATTTTGTTGCAGTTTTTGTTTTAATTCTTAACTTGCTGTTTTTTCTCTTAAGTAGCATAGAAACAGTACTGCATAGGAATCTTCCAGTAGTGTTTTCACATTTGTAGGCATCAGCCTTCTCCCGGTTGCCACCGCCAAAGGGTGGATCAAGTCCAGCCAGAAAGTGTGTATCTATTTTCAATTCAAAACTAGTGTGCAGTCAGAGAGTGAATGTAAATTTGCAACTACCAGGGTTTTTCGGCTTTTTTTTTTTTTGTTTTGTTGGGTTTTTTGTTTTGGTTTTTTTTTATTGGAATGATCTTTTCAGTTGTGTTACATGGTGTGTTATGTCCTCCTAAGCAACAAGTTAGATGTTAATCACACTTTCTACACCTGGGTACTTGGTTAGGGACTTTTTGCCCATTGCCAAGATTTAAAGACAGGACTCTTAGGAGTGAAGTAAAAGCATATTGCTTACACCACTTTTACCTAATACAATATATTCTATTCCCCAATCCCTAATAACCAAAAGAGGAAAAAAAAAACCCTAAAAAAACCAACCAACCCTGTGATGCATAAAAGCAAACTAGATTTGCTGTGATTCAACAATAACATTATTTTCCTTGTCATTTTTGTACAAGGAATTAAAAAATAGAAATCACGTACATTAGTATCTCTCAAACAATAATGAGGATTCGTACAAGGTTTTAAGTGGTTAAACTAAATATACTTCACAGAAACAAAAGTTGCTCCCATTTAAGGAGCTCATGCTCCAGATGTTTTATCAGTAGCTCCTACTGTTTTTTTTAATTCTAGGAGCAATATGCAGGTGTAGTTTTACTATTTTATACATATGTGTATTTAAATTTTATTACTGAAAGATAACATTTTTATAAATGTGTTTGTGTTCCAAAGGCATTAAAATAAGGATGTATTAATAAGGAAAATACCTTTTGAAATTCTGCAAACTACTCCTAGATTTTGGGTTTAGGAGCACATTATCTCAAAGTGGGCTTTTAGCTCTGCTTCATGACTGCTTCCTCTGGTTTCTGTGAAACAGATTGCTTGCTTACTTACATCTTTAGTTGAATGATTTGTTCAATATTGCTTTTTTATTCCCTTCGCCTTTCTAAAGGAAAGAAAAACACAGGTGAACAGAGCACAAGGTGAATGCAACTGAATGTAACTCTAGTTTTAATCAGCAACCATAATGCATCTAGGAAAACCTTGGGTTTATTCTCAAGCCTTTAAATCAATCTGAGATGAAGATGAATGGACTTAATTCCTCCAGTGGGTTATGTCCCCTGTGGAGCCAAGCAGCTGCTACTCTCCCTGCAGAAAGGAAGGCTGCGAGTGCTTGGCATCCTTCAGCGGGACCAGCAGTGTGGCCTGGCAGCACTGCCCATCCTGGGCGGCCTCTGACCCACAAATTTCCAATCCATAGCCACTGTTTATCAGTTTCAGTTGCTGAAAGACGTCTTCAAGAAACAGACCCCAACAGACACTTTGCCAGCACCCGTTTCTTAGTGCGTAGCCAGAACCCTTACTACTTTGTTCGTGCCTTAGCTTCCTGAAAAGGGATCGACATTTCACTTTGGAGTTAGATGTACACATTTCACTTGAGAAATAGGGACCTCAGACAAGATATTGAACCTCATTCAGTCAGGGTTTCAGTGGGTGGCTGCACCCCAGCGTGTTTGCAGCTGAGCTAGAATGTAGGGTAAGGTGGAAGCAGGCTGACCCTGTAAGCAATACCACCACCACCACAGTGCTTTGGAGCATCACTTAGGCAGAGTCAATATTGGCCACTACTAAACCATCCGTTTTTAAACCCCATTTTCTTGATTTCAGATGGAATTTTGGTGGGAGGGGGGAGGGCTGGCTGATCATGCACCACTCTTTGTGCAACTCCTAAACTTCTAGTAAGGTTGTTTTGTTCGTTTTGTTTTGTTTTTTAAATATATATATTTTTGTGTACTTGTTGCTTGTGCTTTATTTAGTAGTAAATTGTGGAATAGAGTGATTTATTGTTAATTTGGCAGTAGCGGTTTTTAAAAACCATATACTGACTGAAACATGAGCCAGAGCTGATTGCTTTATTAAGCTAATAATGAATGTTAAGAGTACATATTTTCAGGATCATTTGCCTAGTGAGCTAAACTTGTATTATAGGCCAATATTTTTTAAAATAAAGCTTGGTCAACCTCTATGTTACACATATTACAAGATATAGCACTTTCAAAAAGAAAACCTAAACCTTTTAAGAAAATTTCTTACAGGTTATGCTTTTTATTATAAAACCTTTTATTATAATTTGTTTCAAGTGCCATTAGATTACATATATGTAGGCCTTTGGTATAATGCTTTGTGTACAAAATGGTAGACATTGTAATTTTAAACAGGTACATTTTTACAGTGTTTTCTTATCAATTTGCTATATTGCACAGAACCAGTGTGTCTTTCTTAAGGGTTTTACAATGGTTTTTACTAGGTTTACATGTTTCAAACTACACTGTCTTCTACTGCCATTTTGAATACCAGTCAAAAACAACTAGGAGTTTGTCCTCACCGTTTGCAAACTGTGTCCTCTGGAGTTCTGGATGATAAACTATGTCAAAAATGTTTAACATGCAGTATTTGATACAGATTTATTTTTTATCATATCCTATCATTGCTATGCTGCTGTCTGAAGTTAACTTAGGGCCTGATCCTGCATCCATAAAGGTCGAGGGGAGCAGGATTGCATCCTTCGTTATGTCTGTCTCATACACTGGTTTAGCAGCTTCTCCTGTATCCTTCTCAGTCTATAGATAAGCCTCTGAAATATATGTACTTATCTGGTATGTAGTAAACCATATAGGCTTAGCTGCCCATCCTGCATCCTCACAGTGTACAGTTCAAACCACAGCCTACTTAGCATCGCGCGCAATGTGCAAGTAATGCCACAGTACTTCAAAATGTCTTTGGATAGTCCCAAAGCTTTTATGCAATAAGGGTGTCTTACTTTGTTGGAAGGCAGTGTCTTTTGATAACAGTTATCTAGCCCTGGAAGAGACACAGAACTATTGCTAATCATATGTAAACACTTTTCAGTATAAGCTTCAGTGGTACAGTTGAACCAGAGTGAATGTTTATCTCCTCAGAAACACTCCTGCAATATTGTTATATTGGATCATGCTGCTAATGTAACTTGGGATACAACTCCTCTCATGGTGCTACAAACCTCCCTGTCTCATTCAGATGTATTTTTACCCATAGAAAAAAAGGACTATACTAGACCTATAGTTGTATGATATATTTTTATACTGTGACTTAATTTGTCATTAATGAACTTTGTGCAACACCACATTGTATTCATATGCACTTGCAAAGGTAAAATTTTTGGACATGCAAATTTAAACGCTGACAAGCCCAGCTCTTGTTCACAAATATAGATGACTGCTAGTTAATGTTAAATGAGGGCTTTTTATATGGTGTGGAGTGAAGAACATACTATATATTACTAACAGCCTTTAAATTTAGACAAAAACTGGGAAGAGTATATTGGGGAATGATGACACATTCAAACCTGACTCGGATTGCTGAAATTATATTTTTAGCTAGTGTAAAAAATTGTTTGGACTTGTATGCTAAAATGGTTTTTAATTATAAAAGTTTTGAGTAAAAAAAATAGAGGAAAAAAAAAAGAACACAGAAAACCCTGCATTCCAGACTGAATTTGTATATGTTTCTTGCATTTAAAATTTGCTATCCTGTGATATGGGAAATTGAGTTGCTTATCATGTATATGTACTTTAAAATGTATTCACAAACTACTGTTGTATTTGTATAAAATATAGACAAAAAGATTGCATATATATTTTTGTGTATAAGCTCTGTAAAATAGCAATCACATTATGAAGCTGCAGCAGAACTTCATTTTAAACATTCACATCCAAAGAAACAGACTATTTATTGTCCACATACCCTGATTATAAAATATACCTTGCTGCTATTAAACAATAGTGCTGCAGCTTCTTGTGGCCTACAGTGTTATGTTTGCTGTACAAAAATATGTGAACTCCACAAAATATATCAATAAAATTACAGAATGGTTTTAGTTAATTAATAACTTATGCCTGGCATTTCAATAGATAATTTTGATCTGCATGTTTGGGATGACAATAAGTAATTACAGAACACGTCTGGTTTTGCTGGGTGTGGTTATTCTGGGTTTGCAAAGGTATAATTGTCTTTCTAATTTATGACTGGTAAAATGTCAGTTTTTCAGAAAAATCTTAAGGCATAAGTATCTGCGTTTCATGATTTCACCAAGGAACAAATGAGATGATGCTACTGTGTCTGTGACAGGACAGATCTGAACTGAAGGAAGCAGTTGAGTTTGCCATCAAATTGCACTTTGAAATACTGTGAGACTGGAAGGTGAGTGTGGGGTTTCTGTAGTGGGACCGCGTGTTTGGGGGACATAGGTGAGTGATTCTGCATCATTTCAGATTCATGCAAGTCAGTTACATCAATTGGTATAGTTTGCAGTACAAACTTTCAGGCGTGGCCACCGTATGTGGGTTGTTTCTCTGCAGTATTTCCAGGAGAAGCTCCATTGCTTTGGTCCCATAGATCTCCCGTCTGCCCGTGACACTGCTGGGGAAGTCAGACTGTAATGCATGGGGGACGAGATGCTTCGCAGCTAGACGAGCAGCCTGTGCACAACTGCAGAAAGTTGCCTCTCTATTTGTTCCACACACTTGTTCCCTAGT